ATGATGACCTCGATGAGCGAGGTCTCAATGGAGTCTTGGGAATTGCGTAAATCAATCGTTGAAATTGATCTCGAAAATCAAGCGCGCGCGTCTTTGCACCTGACAAAATTTTAATCTATGTGAAATTAAGGATGTAATCATCTCTATCCCAGCAATAGTATAATAGGCCCTGCCTAGATAAGAGAAATGGTGGCGGATGACGTGCTTCACCATGACGTCGATTCTTTGACGTGATCAACTGAATGTATGTGTCGCACAATGTAAACGTAAGGGAAGTTTCGCGTTATCTGGAAGAGTTTTCAGACATACGGACTTTTTCTTTTTATAAATTGATCAGACAAATTTTATAAACTTCTTAAGCTGAATGAAGGAAAACATAGGATATTATTCAGTATCTTCGCTACATAATCAAAGAGATTCGCTCTAATATTTCGGTATCTCGTCTTGGAATGAATCAACCCTCTAATCTTACCGATATCGATCACACCCTGCGATCTCCTGACCGCCAAGAGAATCCAAGAAAGCCCCCGTGAAGCGCGCGCGCGTCCGGCCGCCGCTTCCTCTACGCTGCGCTGATTGAAATGCGACAGCGCGTAGATGGGGCTGATGACAAGAATGATGACAACGATGCTCTCACTTGGATGGACCACCTCAGTGACCAGCCGAGACTTCACCGCTTTGCTTCCTTTCTTCCTCCCTTCTTTCCTTCCTTCCTTCCTCCCTTCTTTTCTTCTTTCCTTCCTTCCTTCCTTTCTTTCTTCCTTCCTTTCTTCCTTCCTTCCTTCCTTCCTTCCTTCCTTCCTTCCTTCCTTCCTTCCTTCCTTCCTTCCTTCCTTCCTTTCTTCCTTCCTTTCTTCCTTCCTTCCTTCCTTCCTTCCTTTCTTCCTTCCTTCCTTCCTTCTTCCTTCCTTTGCAAGCTGTACGTATGCAAGCACGCGTTATAGTATTATGACAGTATACAATCTAAATCTAATCGTACAGTAGCTCGCTCGCGCGAGCACGAAAGCACGCACGTAATGAACGCACGCACGTATACACGCAGTGAGACACGCACGCACACGTTCGCGCACTTAACGCGGCACTCGGAAGTTCGGTGGAAGCCACGAACACTCTTCAGCGAATCAATCGAATCACTGCACCGCCTGGCATCCGGTCACCTCCGTTCTGCCATGACGACGTGTACGTATTACGCACGCTTCGTTGCGAATAACGCGCTTCACGACGCTCCTCTAGGTCGCCGGTCACTACCGCGCGTCATCGTCACCATCCCTCGCACGCGAACACAACCGGCGGAAGCATGCTCGCCGAAGGGATGAGGACAAGCACAGAGGGATGTATTCTCAGTTCGAGATTGGGGATAGATCGGAAGTTGCGAAGTGCCTCTTCGGGAAACTGACCCAGACGACGTTTCAGTTCCGATTTATCTATCCCCGCCGTCTTCCACCAATTTCTCTTTATCGTTGTTGCTTCGCGCACCTGCTCGCTATACACACACTCGCTCTGTCTTCCTTCTCTCAATCACACCCTCTCTCATCCTTATCATCCCGTCTCTTGTCTTTCTTACCCTCACTGAGTTCTCTTTAAACGCTGCGCGGTCTTCAAACTCACCCTCTCGTACACTCTTCTTTCTTTTCTCTTTTTCCTGTTCTCCGACAATGTTCTATCTCTTCCTTTCTGCCTCTCTCTTTTCTTTCTTCTTGTTCTCTTTCTTCTCTCTTCTTGCCCGTCTGACTCCAGAAACAAGGAGTCCACCACTACCTAAAGGAGCAAGTAGCCTCCATCGCGAACTGAAACTGAAGCTACCGTATGGATGCAAGGGGTCCGCGCGTTATCCCGTCCTCGTATCTATCATTTCGAGGCCCCCCTCCGGTCCCCTCGGACTCCTCTCTCACCCGACCTATGGATCCGATCGCTCGATCTTCCTCGATCGAGCGTACGAGCCTCTCTTAAGCCCTCTCGCTCCCCCTTCCCACCCCTTCCACTTCCCTCAACAATCCTCCGGGACCCCTGCCCCCTGGCTCTCCCCGTCACAAGCGAGGTGGCCCTCTCGGTAACGCGACATAGGCGGCTATCTCGACTATTAATATATAGAAGAGGGTTCCTCGCACTCTTTCTCTCTCTCTCTCTCTCTTTCTCTTTCTCTCTCGCCGCTCGGTAATTGTGCCCGCGCGGCGAGCACAACGCGGTGCTCTCTCGCTGATTTAGATTTACACACCGGCCTGAACCCTTTCTCGCTTGCTGTCTCTGCGTCTCTCACTCTTTCTCGCCGATCTCCATCGTCCAACAATCGAAAAAGACGACTCCCCTATAGCTCCCCTACATTATTGCAAAGGAATCTCGAGACGAAAGATATTTTTTGATGAGGATGCGTCGCTCTTGGTTTTGGAGAAAGATGAGAAAGATTTCATTCAAACGAATGGCGGAGTAATTCAGCAAAATAATTTGTTGTTTCAGTCAATTAATTAATTATTAATATAGGAATAATTCTCTCGAAATTGACAAGCAGATTTTCTAATACTTTCTTGGGAACAAGCGATCGTATCAAGTCTTCGTTCTCTTCTTTAACTTTCTATTTTTTCTCTTAGTTTTTATTTTATATTTTAATTTTGAAAAAAAAACTACAATTTTTAGTCTTTGGAAAAGTATTCTGCCCGAATGTGTTTATCAAAGTTCTCTTCTTTAATATTATTCTATTTTTCCTCTTAGTTCCTATTTTATATTTTAATTTTGAAAAAAAACTACAATTTTTAATCTTTGGAAAAGTATTCTGCCCGAATGTGTTTATCAAAGTTGTAAGAGCGCAAGGGTGTGTGCATCAATCACGGTCGAATGGGGTCGGAAGGAACACCTTGTCGCTTCATTTGAATAAGAGCACTTCGTATCGGGGTAAGATACCATTGTGCGAGTATCACATCCGCATACTCAAATCGGAGCTATAGCGGACGTTATTGAAGCAGATCCGCGGAGCACGGGATATTATTATATTAAATCTCGCGTTTGTGCATTTAAGGGAGTTACATTGTAATGAAGCAGAATGTGCTGAACTAAAATATAAAAATATGAATATAATACGCAATTTTAAATAAGATTAAGACAAATTCCATAATGATAAAATTATGTATATATTTTTCAATTTCTGAACGGAATTAACTTCTTGATTCATAATTTTTCGAGATAAAATTTCCATCATAATAAGAGTACATAATTCATATAGCACGGAAGTTTCAAAAAGCTTTCAGAAAGGTTTCAAAAACATTAAACCTTTCTAAGATCTTTCTGAAATCTTTTTCAAACTTTTGTGCTGTATGGGAATTCATGTACCATAAAATTATAAAATTTATAATATAGAACGCTGAATAAATATCAAAATATTATATGTTTTGATCTTAGCAACATTATGTATAAAATTACTGGCCAAAAATTAAAATAAAAATCCAAAGTTGCTTTCTATTAAATTTACTATGAACTCATATATTCCTAATCTTTAGGTTTCCGATTATTAATATTATTAATAAAATTTATCAAACTATCCGGAGTATCGGCCTCCAAATTCAAAATTTCGGAATTCAAAACATGAAATAATGTTATATCCTGGACTTTAGTTCATACCCAGGTAGCACACACACGTTTTAGAAATGTTTTATAAATATTAGGATCAAACTTTTCATAACCGTTTCCAAAACGTTTCATAACGTTTCTGAAATGTTTTTCATGAGTAAAAATGTCCACTCAAAAAACGTTAGGTGAAACGTTATTTTTGCGAAAAGAAATTGTTGAAGAAACGTTTTATAAATGTTTATAAACGTTTTATAAACGTTTCATAAATAAGGTTTCTATTAAAACGTTTTTTATTGATGCTTTACGGTTCTGAAACTATAGATACGTTTAAAAAACATTTCTGATACATATATGTGCTACTTGGGTATACCCATAAATCTCTAAAAGACTTCTTAAGGAGTTGCCAAGTCCTTCAGAACACTTTTCGAATTCTTTAAGAAGTCTTTTAGAGATTTGTGCTATATAAGTAGTTTCGTAACGTTTTCGAAAAAAAAAAAACTTATGGAGAGTCTGGTGACTTTAAAAGCCACACATAGACATCATATATTTAGACCGAGCGTTGAGGAGTGGGAGTAAGAGGTACGTAGAAAAAGATGCATTGCGTTTTGAGATCTTGCGGTCTCTCTCATTCGCACATCTCTGTAATACAACCTTTCTTACGCATATGCTTACACACATGCGCGAATGAGAGAGAACGCAGGGTCTCAAAACGCAATGCATCCTTTTCTACGTGCTCTTACCCCAATCCTCAAATAAAGACAAACGCTCGGTCTAGATATATTAGCCCATATTCTGAATCCTCTTTTATCGATAAAAGTGTCTTAAATGTAGCTTCTCAGCCAATCAGTTGACTCCTAAACCTCTTTTAGAGGTACTTTTATAGATAAAAAAGGATTCAGAATATGGGCCTATATGTCTATGGGGCCACAGCACAGGCTTTTGGGAGGGGAGCGGTGCACTTGGACAAGGTGCATTTGGACACAGCCAATCACAGCACCGTGTGATTAGAGACATTTGTAGGGTCCCTTGGAACAGCGACTTGTGATTGGACTATGTCCAATTGCCCCGTGTCCAACTGATATACACCCCAGGCTTTTACATAACGCATAATACATAACGCATAAGGGAATAAACCAATCAGATTTCTTCATTTCCCTCCTCAGGATAGAAATAAAGAACTCTGATTGGTTTATTCTCTTATGCGTTATGCAAAAGTCTGTGCTGTGGCACTAAAGGCCCTCACACATGAAATGACATAACTGCATGTGCATAGCATAAGACTGTATGGACCAATGAGCATCGAATATTGAGCATCAAGCATCAATATGGCGGCTAAATACTCGATGCTCATTGGTCCATACAGTATTATGCTATACACATGCAGTTATGTCATTTCATGTGTAAGGGCCTTATCGCAGGGTGCAACAGTTCGTAGGTACGTACTGGTCGCCACGGCAACGACAGTATGGCAGCGCCTAGTGCACGTGCGACGTTGGACGCTGAACATATGCGCGTGGTTGTGTTACAATTTTGCAACACGGGCTATATACAGTATAAAGTTTATTTTCGATGTCAGATTGCATTGGATCGAGCAGCACTCGCTCTTGTGAGAGTGCACCACGTGGAGGCAAGCCGAGACACGTGAAATGCCTGAATTTTGGACAATCGATCCTTAAGCTCGATGTCGCAAACCAGCCTAGCTGTTTCGCGACGTCGAATCGTGCTCTTGTGGTCGAGCAGAGTGTAGCCCGCATACCGTGCACCGAGAAGAAGGATTACGTGCGCAAGTGGATTGAGACTCATAGGGACGGCGGATCCAACCTAAGCGATGATGATTTACCCGAGATCTTTTCGTCTCAAAAGACGCCCACGAGCGAGAGTTCGCCGGTACTTGGTAACATTGGGAAACGACGGGATAAGAGAGGAACCCGTAAAAATAAAAATAAACACACTGTAACGAGAAGCGCGGATGACACAAATGGTCAGGAACAAGATGCACAGTATTCTGTAAACTGTACGAAACAAGATAGTGAAAATAAGGGAGAGAACCAGGACAAACAAGAATACTTACATAAGACTCAGTGCACACCTTCTTGCACAAAGATTATTGTTGATAGATCTCCTGTCCTTGGCACAGGTTTGTATTCTCACAAGAGAAGAAGAAGAAAATTATGGTATGGAACAGAAGATCATGTTTCGTCAAAGCGTTTAAAGTTGGATTATGATAAAATCACAAATGTAGAACCTGATAGTAATTGTGATAATCTCCATGAAAAGTCTATAGATCACATTGTATTGGAAGAGGACTCAGGTAGCAGTGCCAAGGAAATTGTTTACCAAATTGAGACTGAAGAGAGTCCAGAAAGGTTAAAGATGTGTACTTCTTTGTCGCAGACACCACAGAGATCGAGCTCTGAAGACAGTTCAAGTCACAAAAATAATAAGGTCAATCTAAAAATGAAAATAGACTCGAGTGATGAAAGCAATGAAGCAGAATATAATAAGTTCTCAAATACAAACAGCAGCACCAATAATAGTCTGAGCAATATTGTAGAAGAAGTCGATACACAGGATATGTTATCAGTCATGAGAAAAACTCAGTTTTCATCTAAATCTTTGTTCACTTCCAGGTCTCTATCTAAGGCCTCGCAATTGCTTTCCAATGATTCAAATGAAACTTACTGTTCTGAGGCAGAAATGTTGCAGGATCAAAGCACACATTTGTCTGCCAAGATCTCTCTGGTGCCATCTTTGACTAGAGAGGTAACAAGCAGTAAGTCAACGCAGACTCCCGTTATCAGTACGATCAGCACACCATCGAAAACATCTCCGGACAAGGCTATGTATGCGCGGCTCCTGGATTCCGGGAAGAAAAACCACAAAGCTAAGAAGTAACTAAAGACTATATTAGCAGTAACATTACTAATAATATGTATTTTTGACAGTGTTACTAACAAAAGTAGATTGTCTCATTTAAGATTGCTAAAAGCAATGATTTCTAACAAGTACGAAGTAATCACATTTTGCTATTAACTTAGTTATTTTGGAGTGAAAAATATATGTTGATAATGTTTGTTCTCAACATTTTGTGGAAAATGTTATTGATAAATATTACTTGATTTGGTAACATGCTGATAACTTTGTCACTAACATTGTCAAGAATATTATTTCTACAATCACATAGTGGTCTATATCAAAGGATATTGTATTTTCATTACAGGGGAAGCATGGTTGCGAAGCTACAGTCTTTGATCAACACACAAGTATCTAGCATTCGCATTTGGCGTCATCGAATGAACAAGAAACACGAAGCTGCGTCAGCGCGGTTTATCAGCGTACTTGTGCGCGATTGTTCGAAGCGGTTCGGTAATCAGTTTCTGAAGGGTACTTTAATCGAAGATCGCTTCAATCTTTTGCAAAACGACATAGAAATCGGAGAGGCGGAATCCTGTAATGGTCAGACTCCAGCGAGGAAAAACTCGCACAGAGATCTGACGATTATATTAGTCTGTGATATAGTCGGTACACTGAAAATGATATCGGAAGTTGTGATAAACGTTTATCCACCTTGGGACATTTTAGACAAGGTTGATCTTACACTAGAAGCAATGTATATAAGCATAAGTCACGAAATGCCTAATTTGCATCCTGATAAGGACAATTCGCGGAAACGTAAGAAACGAGTTGTCAAAGAGTTTAATTGTCCCTGTATAAGAGAGAATAGAGAATTTTCGTTTTGCGCAAGAAAGCCTAGCGCCGATAAACCTGATGTGATGCAACAGATTTTTTGTTTATGATATATATTTTTATACAAGTTTAAATATTATTTTTGAGCTTTGCTCGAGTCCTTGATCATAATTTAATAGCACTCCTGATTCATAGATAATTTATGTTACATGATGTAGTTTTTGCAGTTGCAATTGGACTCACGATAAGAATGTTTCTATCTCATGTGTCTCAGATCACACAATGTTCTGACCTACAGTTTTATACAGAGTCGTATAACTGTGATAATCTTATTAGAAAATAACTAGTTCACTGTTTTTATATACATATGAATAAATATTAATTTAATTTTGTTGCAGGCAGTGATAAAAGTATATGAAATTGAATAGATAGCTGTTACTATTTAAGTTAAAAAGAGAATTTTCATTTAACATATGATATTATTTTTCATAAAAGAACATTGCGTTATTGTTGTAAAAAAGATGAACATTTTTAATGTTATCGTACACATTATATTTTTAATAAGCAAGTTTTGTTTTTGGGACGTATGTACGATCTGCGAAAAATATTCGTAAAATAAAATCATGTATTTGAGAGAGAATTATAAGACTTTTAGCACAAAAATATGTGTAAGTTAGTTTTCGCAACAGATTAGACTTTAAATCACCCTCCAACTTGGAAATAGTAAATAAAAGAAGCGTCTAAATCATGATTTCAATTTTTTATTAAAGACAGAGGCGCTCTACAGCGGAGAGTTTGGAATTAATAAGAAATAATTGGTCTACTTCAGTCTAAAATGTGTCGTTTAGTCAAGACTCAAACCCGTCGGTATCATGAATCTTTTCATGTCACCGCTACGTGGCGCTGGGCAGTCCATTCAGTCGTGTTTTACAGGTCTATTGTTCTAAAGTGTAGTCTTTTGGTCAAGAGATGTCTCTGTATGTTACACAATTTGTCACTCAGTGTTTTCCTTCGTATTTTGTGGAAGGTTATTCAGTTCTGAGTTGATTTCGACTTAGTTTTAACGTTGTAATATCACGTTGTGATAATCACATTATTGTGGATAAACGACAGAATTCAGCAATCTATTTTATACAAAAGTGAGTGTCTAGCAACGTTACTTCAGAATCATTTTATCGTTGACGTGTCCCACTTGACAATAGATGTGTCATTATCTGAATACAAAAAGATTGACGTCAAAAATACTTCACGAAGATTTAAGTCAGATTTTATCGTTAAGTCGACGTGACATTTACTTCACAAGAATAATCAAAATTCTTATAATAAATAAGTATAATTATCATTGTTATTCGTACATAACCTAAGAAGCAAATATTTGCGTTGTCTTTTTAGCTGCACTGCTGAACTAGTGCAATAAGTAAGAGTGAGAAAAAGTACATTTATCTCACTTTAACTTATTGCACTAGTTCAGCAGTGCAGTAAAAAGAACAGACCAATTGAAATCTATTTTCCACAGCTCTGACAGACAATGTCAGTAACTCAGGATCGACCCGAATTATACGAAGAAGTGAAGCTCTACAAAAATGCCCGCGAGAGAGAGAAGCATGACAATCAGGCGGATTTGTATGCTGTGGTAAATACATTGCAACATTTGGAGAAAGCTTATATCCGAGATTGCGTCACACCAAAGGAATACACAGCTGCATGCAGTAAATTGTTAGTGCAATACAGAGCAGCATTTAAACAGGTGAGTGTTAAGAATATAGCAAGAGTTCTTCTTATTTGATACGATTTGTGTCTTTGCTCCCATAAGTCGAAAACAAGAGTTACATATTTATTTTCTTATAAGCAACACATTTGAAAATGTTTTTATCAGAATATTATTCTAACAAACTATGTATCTCATCATAGGTGCAAAGCGATCAATTTCCAACAATTGATTCCTTCACCAGAGCATTCCGCTTGGATTGTCCAGCTGCGCTTGAGAGAATCAAGGAAGACAGACCAATCACGATAAAGGATGACAAAGGCAACACTTCCAAATGTATTGCAGACATTGTCTCCTTATTTATTACACTTATGGACAAATTACGTTTGGAAATTCGAGCCATGGATCAGTTACATCCAGATCTGAGGGATCTTATGGATACTATGAATCGCCTTAGCATATTGCCCAGCGACTTTGACGGCAAAGAAAAAGTCGCAGAATGGCTGCAGACTCTCGACAATATGTCTGCCTCGGACGAATTGTCCGACACTCAAGTTAGACAACTGATATTTGACTTAGAGACATCCTACAATGCCTTCAACAAAATATTGCATAATTCTTAATCTCTTGTATTTTTTGTCAAGTGGCAATATCATCTATAATACAGACTTCAATTTATGAACTATGATATTATATAGTAGATAATTCCAAAATAATTCCAAGTTATTATTTATATGTATTTCTGCTTTTATTAATCATTACTCGTTAAATTTTGTTTGACAAGTCGGTGCAAGGAATTTTGCAATTTTTATTTACTGTATATACCATTACAGTAGGAGTATCAGGGATTTTATTGTAGATAATATTGATTTATCGAATTACGAATATATAATGATATTTACACCTAAATTATTCTCTTGTGATTAGTAATATCTTGCCATATCATGTTACCTAATTTGCATTGTTTTTTAAATCATATGAGATTCACAGTAATGAGAGTAATTTGACTACGTTAAAGAGAAATATATAAATATATACATACACAAATATCAAGAGATGCAGCAGCGTCTCACGGCAAGATAAACGCGCAAAGCGAGAAACGAGTGTGAAGTACATATGTAACGCCGCACCAAGTCAGACTATTTTATATGCGATTCTTTACAAACCTACAAACGGCGAACTGCTGAGCAATGCTTGCGTCATATATATCATCAACTAAATTCATAAAAGAGCGTAGCAACTGTGCAAGTGGCTCCCTACGTAGAAAAATATGGGAGTATACTCAAATAAATGTATCTCGCGCTGAAAACTTTTTTTCATCGACAGTCTTTCAAATCCGCTCTATTTTGCCGAGAGAGAAAGAGAGTTATATATCGTCCTTGAGCTGCCTTTGTTCATCTCAAGAGACTCGTGAAGCTTTCCAAGGAAAGCGCACAACAACATCGCACAACAACCGCGTTTTATCAGCGCGCACCAAGACGCGACCTCTTGACGGCGCGTTTAACGCGCGACAATGACGCCGGCGCCGATATTTCGTCGGTTCTGTTTGCGGGCGATGGTAACGCGGGAGTTAATTCGCGCCGTGCCCCTTTGATGTGCCAAGAGCAGACTTTTCCGAGTCGTATTTACGCGGGCACACCCGGTATGCAAATGAAGAGGGTGGTCCTTCGGCGCTCGCTGCCACGGGCGCGCGCGGAGTACAATAACGGCGCTCAACTATTGACTAAACTAAACTAAACTAAATTAAACTGAGCTAAACTAACAGCCAGGTTGTATCTGCAGTCGCGGCGCCCGGCTCCGTTTCACCGCACTCGTGTTCGTGTGCACGTGCATCGCGCTGCGTCGCGCCCGCGTGCATACATGGGCACAGTCGCTTCGAGAAATTTACATGCAATAGGAATGCCATTACTACTCGCCCGCAAGGAGTCTAGACAGTTTCGACACTCGAAGAAACGTCTCTTCGAGTTGGTTTCTTCGCCATTAGATCGTTCAGTGACGTGCTACCTTAGCGGAACTGAAAGCAACCGTACTATATACACCCGGGACTCTACTAATCTGCATACAACACAGAAGCTTGCTACAATATTGCATATTGCAGCACAATATTGCAGTCATAGAGATAGATTTGTAATATAATTCTAACAATGTTACAGCATACTTCATAAACATTCATGAAAATATGATATGATTTTGTGTACATGCGCGCGTATAAAAAATAGATTGTAACATAGAGAAGTTTTCAAAAAATTCCATTGTGGTTTGCAAATATATTGTTATCCTAGATTAGATAAGGACTGATATTATTAATCTCTCGTTACGCTATATATATATAGTTTATTGCAGAACAATTTGAGCATTAAGTCACTCGAATTCGAGTGAATTCGAGTCACTCATATAGAATGAATTCTCTACTTTGAATAATTTCATCCAAAATTTAAAAGTGAATATGACGTACTTTATTTTCACAGGAACATATACACTCTAATCGATTGAAACGTTCGCTCAGAATCCATTTTAACTTTGAGTGAAACATTCACTCTTGCGAATTCGAGTAATATTTTCACTATTACTTCTGAATGAAGATACTGCGATTTTTCACTTATTTTTTATGAGACTCCACTGATAAGACAAAATTATTTATATTGCATCGACGAGGCACGCGAATTATCTAGCATCTATAAGTAAGTCACGGAATAAATAATTTAGAAAAAAATATAATTTTGCAACTAACACTTGGCTCGATCGTTTATTTGTACTTATACAGAAATTGCGAGGACGGAACCGCTTGAGCCACTCCTTGCGCACACCCTGTATGTATTTCACGAACGTCTCGCCGAATTGGCTCACGAGAACCCAGTTGGGTCTCAGCCGCTTTTTCTGCGAAATAAATCGAGCCACATCTTTAAACATGTCACTTTAGTTTCACTCTAAATCCGTCTTCCGCCGGGCTCGATTGCGGCTTATCAATGCCAAACTCTAAAATCTCTCGGGTCATTCTCCGCGGTGCGACCTGAGAAGCGTGAGGTCTTCATCCAATTTCCAAATAAGGATGATCCTCTCAAGGCAATCCCGGAGCTATTTCAGCCGGCTCGAACATTGCCAAGCCACTCTTTCGCGGGGATATATCTTTCGTACACAACCCGGCGACGAGATGTACACGCACACACACTCGCCATATGCACACACACACGCGCCGACACACACTCGCAATGTCGGCTTATCCGTCAATCTGTTCGTTTACCTGACGCTGTTATTTCAATATAAATCACTCGGTCCCGCCGACGAATATGCTTGCCTTTGACAGAGTGATTTCACCCTCTTTCACTTTGGCCTTCATATAAAAATTCAGATTTCGCAGAACGATTCGGTAGCTGCGAAAAATCAAAGACTTTGATGTACGGTCTTTCGGTTGCATCGTGCGTCCTGTCGCATCTATGCGTATATGATTGTAAAAACAGAATCCATTACCGTCGTCGGTTATTGCCGTGCATTCAATACAATTATCGCGTTTTGCCTATAATAGTAAAATTACGTGTATTGTAAAATTATTGTTTTTGTACTATACGAGCAATTACTGCGACTGATTATGAAATACTGTATGCATGTGGAGTTATCATGGCCAGTTGAACGTTCAACTCGAGGAATAAATTTCACTGTCGCGTCTCGCGATTCTGTCGCGTTCCTGTAAGGAACACGGCTTCCATTGTAACGTTCTAGATAAATATGGCATAATGCCGTGTGTAACAGCGCAACAGTACTTGAAACGCGCTCTCGGAGGAAAGAAAATCTTCAAGAGGGCAAGAGTAGACTCACTCGCGCTTTCCCATGTCGAATGACGGGGGCATTCAACACGGGATTATCTGCAGACGTCAGCGTTATCTATAGAAAGCAGCACGTTTCTCCTCAGAACGACGATGATCCTGACAAAAGGGCGTACCGGAAAGCTTCGAGTTATATGCGCTCGCTATGACTCGAAAAGGATCGCATTGTCGCTCGAATTACACGCTTCAAACGATATCCACGTGCTTAGCCACGTCGTCGCAGAACTGTCTTGTGCTACTCCACGCTTGAAACTGTCTGTTTTCATGTATATTTATATCGTCTTGCTTGGCTTTCTCGTATTGTTAAAATCTATTTTCTTTTTCCTTTATTTTTATATGGACAGAAATGTAACTGAGCTGTTGAATTTAGAAGTTTGAATGTTACAAGTTTTATCCCTCCCCCCGCCCCTAATCTCGTACGCGGCAGTTATTTTCGACCAACTTTTATTTTGTATTACTCGCAAACTAGTGAAATGAAGACTATCGGTTCACGCACTAAAATGTCAGTTGATGGGAATGTGAGGTTTAATCATTGTTGAATCATTGCCTGTCATACAACAAAAAAGCAAAGTTGCTGTAAGGTTGCGAAAGGTCTTTAGGGGACTCCAATGTGTCAGATTAAGGTGTTAAAATATAAAATAAAGATAATTTTTTGTTATATTTTGTGATGTTTTACATTAATATAATATATAAGACAATTTTTATGTAAGTAGTTTATTTTTAGCTATATATATGATCACCGATCTCTGCATCATTAATTTTAATAAAATCCGCATTATAATAGATTAAAGCCGTAAAATTTTGAAACTATTAATGATTTTACTCGTCTTTTGACTGAAAACAAGGTGTACTTTCATATATCCAAATAATTATATTTTTTGGCAAATTGAAAAATATATAATATTTTCTTTTCTTAAACATTTAAGTATTGATAGAATCTTAGTTGATTTCTTAAATCCATTTTCAGAAAAGTTATATGTTTTTATGTAAACTCACGTTACGATAGAGTCAGTGTTTTTAACAGTAAATTAATTTTTAATTAAAGAGAAAATTAATTGATATTTTAATGTGCCGTTTTTAACGAATCAATAAATTAATTAATAAAGTAGAAAAACGATTCATTGGAAGCAGAACAATCTCATCTCTCGGATGCAATTTATTTCACGTTGTTATGATATTTCTAAATAAAGATATTGATGAGCGGCGAATCGCGATTAGGAGAGCCGTCGCAACAATGTTGCGTGCCGCTAAATCTCGAGTCAAGCGCGTTGCCTCAAAGCAAGGTGTCGAATGCGTGGCGTGAACATATTACAATGTAACTATGAGCAATGCTGCAGGTCGGCGGTAAAGTTCGTACGTCGCTTTAAAGACTTCAAACCCTTCGAATGCGCGTATCTCGACGAAAAATCGTCGCATGAGCCTGATGTAAACGCCTTTCTTCTCGGCGTCTCACGCGACTTTGTGCTCCTCGCATGTGCTTTTGTCACGCGTTCACGTATATTATTACACGAGCTGTATCGTTTACACAGAGACGTCAGTGTATCTTTAGATATGCAACTCGAGAAAGTCAAAAATTTTTATCATATAAAATACGAAATTTCACGTGAAATTCGTTTGACAGATTTCTCGTGGAAGTTTCCGTGTAATTTTTCCCAGATAGATACGCGCACGATTTCTCAAGACTTGGACCAATATTATACGACCAATGTCGAGTACTAGGCGATAAATTCACTCTTGGTTGATGCATGGTTGCGAATGTTCGGCCAAGAATTGACTACCGGTATTGAGCTTTGAGTTGTTATTCGACTGCAATCTAATGCTAAGCCAATACTGGCTGCTAGCATCGATATTGAAAATTCAGCATCATAGCCGTAAGACCGATCATAAAACTTTATATAGGAAAGATTAATGTTGCATATCTAATGTACAAAATATGTCTGATCTAACGAATCAATTTCTATTTATGATTTCCTTCGGCAATTTGCAGCCGATTCTTTTTAAACAAATCGGTAAATTAAATAATTATTTGCAATTAAATTACGAACGCGTCGAAAGTAGTTGTATTGGTAAGTGCTGTATTTTGAGTATTGCATCAAGGCAATATAAATAAAATTATATTTCTACACATTCAGTTCACATTTAAGCATCATTTTTTATTCGAAACGAAATTGAATAAAGATACATACATAATATTACAAACATGAGAAACTGTTATTTTTTTATTTTTCTAACGAGTGCTTCATTTTATGCATCAGTTTTCCAATAGAGATGTACAAATAATAAAAAGAGGTATATAAATATTTAAATACGTGTTATATATATTTCGAATATCACTATAAATTATAAATTTTCAACCGTGATATCTTAAAGATAAAAATAGTAATTCTGAAATTAGTATATATATACATATATATATATTTAATATCTGTACATTTTATCCTTTAGTATCATATGAGTTTTTCATCAAAATCTCATATGCAGGTTTAGAAAAATTAAAAATAGTAATTAAAAGTGGCCCGCTAGCATCGAAGTACGTATATGAAAAGCGTCAACTTTAGTTGCATATAACTCAGCTCTTGAGTAATCTATCTTTTTCTAATTGTACCAGCAATTAGACAATATTTCACTGTGCATAGCATAGCGGACGTTTAATCGAATTCTCACGAAACTCGTTTTATAATACGATTATCTTAAAATCGAACAAAGAGCATCGTTTCGCAATTTGTTCGCGTCACGAATGTTACGGTTGCCAAGGAGCCCTTTATTTTCAATCGCTCACAACTCCGACGCGCCCCGTCGGCCCTCGGTTTTTGTCAAGGAAAAGGTCGATTCCGATCCGCTGAGAAAATCCGTAGATAAAAAGTGGCTCGACAGGGTGGAAGCCCCCGTGTAATGTACATTAATATACGGCGCAGCGCGTGCGTACTCGTGTGTCTCCCTCGGCCTTCGTGTCGCTTGAGAGGCATATCACACATTGAGAGGACGTGAGTCGCTTTGAAAAATCGTGCCCGATATGTCGGCGGAACGAAGAAAAAGGGACGGCACGTGAGGGCTGGGTATAGGAAGAGAAGGCAATGCCCGGGTACCCGGCGCGCACGCCGCTCGTCCTCGCGGCGAAGGTGCACCTGGGCTCTCAGATATGCGAGTGGCAACGCGCCTCGACGTGCGCGCCCGCTCGTTGGCCGAAAATTTTACGTGGATCGTTCGGATAAGCGAAGATCGACGGCGTAAGTGAAATTCTCGCTTTTGGCTTCTCCCCGCCGGAATCCCAAAATCTTCGTCGCGCCGTGTCCGCCGACCTCAAAGGGAGAGAAAGAGAGTCGCCCCCGGCCGACCGGCTTCGATCTCTGGCCGAACTTTTTTACGGATTTTCTCCGCGAGACGCCGGTATCGATCCCGTAGTCGTGGTGCACCTGCGGTCGCAACCGCGCGCACGGCCGGCTCGTTCCTCCAGGATTTTACATC